TCGCTGCTCGCTCTCTTTAAACTGGTGAGTAAAAACCGCGGGAGATTTGGCTGTTTCTATTTTTCATGTTCAGTCCTTTAAAACATCTTTAATGTTAAAATGTAAAACTCAGCAGGATTTCATGTTAGAATTTTTTTCAACCCATCTACTTCCGCTTATCACTTTATTCCGGGTCTGGAGCCTGTCCCAGCTGTCTTTGGGCGGAAGGCAGGATACATCCTGAGCTGGTCGGGAGTTCTTAGTGATCCAGAGGAAGCCCATTAATTAAACTATTATTAAACCAGCTTTTATATTTTGACTCTGGTCCTTCGTCAGCTTTTGGACCAATCACAGCTGTGAAGTTTTGAAAATTTAAAGTGCGCATTGAGGAAACAGCAGAGCAGTTCAGTCCTTGAACCTTTCAAACAAATAAAATCTTTATTCAGAGTATCAACTCAGTGTTGCTGCTTCCTGTGGATATTTATTTAGGTCTTAGAGGGAAATCTGTTCCAACAGTCCTGAAATGTGTTTTTATCTCAACATTTAAGCATCCTTCTTTGTTTTTGTCACGAGTTCTGATGCAGTATTGGAACACATCATGTTATACGCTCTTACTTCGTGGATGGAAAAATGTTTGTTCAGTGAATGATTTTCAGCTGATTCTGAGAAACACAAACACTACTCCCCTACAAGGAAAAAAAAGAAAAAGAAGAAGAAACGTTTTATTAATTTAAATTTGTTTAAAAGAAGTCCGACTGATCAATAATCAATAATAATAAAACGAGTAAGCCAGGAGTGAAATGTTGGTGATAATCCCTGAAAGTGCAGCAGGTCAAAGTAAAGCTGCAGGATCGTCTGTAAACTGTGGTGATGTTTGCAAGAAACTGAAAATATGATGGTGTCTGTAACAGAGCAGGAAACAGTGAGCTTACAGCGCCACCATCTGGACAGACAGCCTCATTTCAACTCAGACTGTAGCTGAGTGTTGATGTTCAAACTGCAGCATTTCTGTGATTCTTTGAATGTTACTTTGTACATTAGGTGAAGCTGTTGCTGCTGTGATGCTCCTCCTCTATAACACTCATAAGTCAGTATATTACTGTGATATATACACTGTTTGTACCTGTTCTATTTGTTTCCTGTATTTAAACCTGTTCACACAGATGATTCCTGTGATGAGAAGCTGTTATCAAATGATTTATATAGTCTATGAACTTTTCTGTGACAGAACATGATTCAAACTAAATGAAATAAAACACTTTCTAACTCTGTAAACACAAATGTGAATCTATTATTTCCTACAGTGCTAAAGTTGAATCAATGCAGAAAATCAGAGTTTGTCCTGACTGTTGGAGCATGGAGGGATTGTGTTTTCCAGATGTGTTCCAGATGCTGCTGTTTGGTTCATATAGTTCTTTCCTTCCATGAATCCAACATGTGAATGTTTGAACGATGGAATCAGTCACTCAGTGAATGTTTTCAGTCCACTGGGACCTTGTTTGGTCTCCATGTAGAAGAGCTGAGGTTCCTGTGATGATCCTGTTCTGGAAGCAGAATAAAGTCCAGCAGGTAACCAGACAGCAGCTCATCTTTGTGTCCTTCACACTCAAAGTTCATGTCAAGTGAAAGCAAAGCATCACTTCCTGTAATTATAACTGAATGCATGTCATAGTTGTGAGACTAGTTGTTGTTTGTTGCTACAGTTAAATAGTCTAAAGTGGTTTTCTAACATGAAATCAGATGCATCACATGCTGTATTATACTGTAGTTTACTGATTCTTTGCATCAGCATTTTACTGCAATAACAATAAAACAAATCAAATCTAATCTGAACATCAGAAAAATTGCATGCACATTATACATGTTCAGTGTAATATAACGAACATCGTGCTGCTGTATTTATCAGTGACTTATCCTGACTCAGGTGTGGTGATCAGGTGCAAGCACACTCTGGGTTTGTGGCATTTTTGTTTGTATTTGTAAGATTGTATATTTATTATGTATTTTTAAGAAATAAAACAATAAACAGTCATAAGAGAGACAACAGGCTCAGAGTCCTCTTGTCTCATTGGAGAGTTCTGTGATGTCACTTCCTCTCACTCTCCAGTTTAGGTAGCAGCTAACTGCTAACAAACTGATTCAGTGCTTTGACAAATTTAGATTTCATCCACTTAAGTTGAGCAGAGAGGAGCTCACTGTGTGAAAAACAAACAGCATCGCTGCTCGGTGAATGAAACTCAGTGTGGAAAACAGTTTGCATTATCTGCATAAAGCAAAACGTCACTAATACCACAAAGATTATATTATGTTCAACACGCTCAGTCATTTGTATTTTTATCCTTAATGTTTGCCAGAAAGGAGGACAGCTCCAGTCATTTTCAGGATATATTTAGGTACAAGACGACCATTACAGCAGGAAGAATACAAACAATAAACAACATAAAAGAATAATTTTCACAGTGGAAGAATCTTTTAAAAAGACGTCTCATGCTGTTTACAGTGTAAGCTTCAGTTTTCATGACCAACCAATGAAAAACAAACAAACAAACAAACAAAGAGAGCCTTGTACAAATTTAACAAAGGTTTTTATTAAAAGAGTTCAGGACATGGCACCTGTGAGCTGTACAGGTATTTCTCTTTTTCATTGTCCCTCACTTATGGGTACAAACATGGTATAAACACACTATTTCTTAAGGCCTGTGCTGTGCAATAATGGTTTCCTGCCACATAAAGCAAAGTGTAGCATGGTGTAACATTGATAGAAATGCAGAATGACAAACTACAGCACAGGACATGCAGAGTGCAGCGATCAGCTCAGCACAAATTCTGTCTCATTTACTCAACCTGGCAGTCAGCTCAGGATGTGCTCTTCCTATGTGAAAAGGGCTTTAAGAATAAGTCTATGACATACATGATGTATAAATATATAATCACTGACACCAGCTAAGTAATACACAAACAGAGCTTCTTTTATGCCTTATTTGTAGGTGATCAGCACAGACAGGGACCTTTCCCATGTTAGCTGAATGTGCTGATCACCACACTCACAGGTCTTTTTCTAGCTCCATATTTTCATTCTTGGACTTCACTGCAGGAGCTTGAGATGAGACTTTTTAACCCCACCTGCTTTTAACCCAGATTCTTCTGATTGGCTTTGCTTCAGAAAAAGGATTTCACAGCAGCTGGATGGACTTTTGTGCAGTCACAGCCGTGTGTTTGAGATGGCCAAGACTGAAAGTAGATTATGTTGATTATTATTATATGTTATAGGTGATACTGTGCTGCTGTTCTGTGTCCACATTTCTGTATAGGCAGGTGTAACCGAGTGTTAAAAATGGGATTGAAAGTATAAGTATTCATACGATTGTGTTTTCTACACCTACAAGTACTCTGTTGTCATACACCCTTGGCTCCTACGAATCTAGAACCTGTCTGATCTGGTCCATATTTCCCTTCTGTCTTCGTACTGTGGTTAAAGGTAACTATACTTCCGTACTACAGGCAAAGAAGGCAAGAAGTAGCACTAACAGGTAGGGATGGGTATCGTTTAGGTTTTATCCAATACCGGTGCCAAATCGGTACTTTTGAAACGGTGCCGGTGCTTCAACGGTGCTCAAACCTGTGCTTAAAGAATGGAGAACACAAACTTTGTCCAAAAACCTCTCATGTTCAGCTGTTTTTTTTTTTTGTTTTTTTTTTGTAAAAAGATAACAATGTTAGCCCTTTCTGGCTAACTCAGACGGAACTCAGTAGTTATTTTACAAAACCTTTATTCACCTTCAGTTACAGATGCACCTTCCAGAAGGGGAGATATACAGGGCCGGTGTCCCTCTGCAGATCTCAACTTCTTTGTCTGTTACAACCAGTCTTATAGAAGCGACCCGCCCATCGTAAAACCCACATGATGTGTTATAAACCCAAAATACCGTGTGTTTGTGTATGTATGTGCAAGCATGTGAGTGCCTGGGTGTGTGCGTACCTGTGTGTGCACGTGAGTAAGTGTGTGTGTGTCGTAACAGTGTGTCTCTGTATATGTGACTTCCTGCCGGTCATAAAAGTCCATCTCCCCTCCAGACCACAATTAGACCATGTGACAGTTATGAGCTTTTATTACATTCGGGGACAACAAGGATAACAGACTCCTCCTCTCTTTCCTATCTGTTCCATACAGTCCCAGCATCCCCCAACTGTAGCTTCCTGTCTCCTTTTATGACAGGCAGACCCCCAGCGTTAATGAATTCCTCTCCCTCTACACAATTATACACACACTCAGGCCTATAGCTAAACCAACCTAAAACACACAGACGTTCACAAACCCTTTCCTATTCCTCTGATCTACAGCTCGACCATCTCATCTAAGCAAATTTAAGCTCATTATATTCTAATAATTGTTTTCTTGTACTCACAAATGGAGTTGAAGTTTGTTTGGGATCTGAATTGCTCTGTAGTTTATATCACAGGAGCACATCTCAGATTTGTTTTAATGTCATCAGGAGGCTGGCTTTATCTTCCCAGCAGCCTCTTGTACACAGAAAGGGTAAATTTGTGTGTTACAAGAACAACACACAAATAGAGTACACACAACATTTTTTTCCTCCTGTACATCTTTCCTGTTTTACTGTTGTCTTCAAACATTACTCATGAAACCACCCCACAATAACAACAGTGCCTTTCTTGGACGTTACTGAAAACTGAACTGAAGCTGTAGTGAACACAAACAGAGGAACAAACTGGCTGATGTAACCTGACCCCAGGCAGCCGGGCGTGACAGCTGTGTTTGCATATGGAAATATACTTGGTTCCGTGTCCTGTAAGGACTGATGAAACAGGTACAGAGTGAAAGAAGGACACACAGCAAACGTCTGTATTTTACCTTTCATTTATTTTCTTTCCTGCTACTAATGAATTATTAGCCAGCCAGCTTTCTTGTGAACAATGTTAAATATTTCTGTTAGTGCACATCATCATGTGAAGCTGAGGTTGATTATATGGGATAATGTTGTCCTCTGAAAGGGACCACAAAACCTTTGAGAACCTCTTTTCTGGACCGAGGAGACTGAAGGTTTCCCACTGCAGGCAGAACAGACTCTGTCAGAAGGACTAAAGGTGAGACATGAACCATGAATTTGTTTTGTTTTTTGTTCTGTTTTGTTTTCAGACATTTGTTATTTAAGCTCATCATGGCTGACATGATTGTTAATGCCTCTGGTTGATGAGCTCTCTGTGTAGTTTATCATATTTGATTCGGGTTGGTTGGGTCATTTCTGGTAGCAGGGCTCTAGACTGCAACCAATTGAGTCGCAAATGCAACTAAATTTTTCAATGGTGCCACAAAAAAAAATCCTATGTCGCAGGTCTCCACAACTCTGAAAGTCTCCGTGTGATCAACAACAAACACACATTATGCCCATATTGTCGTCTAAACCAATCTGAGATAGTCAGGAGCAGGACCTCTCTGATTGGCCGTGGTCAGATATTCCTGTAGTCCTTCGCGTGTACGTTTGAAAGTGCAGGTGGATAGAGAGAGGTGAGTAGCCTGAATAAAGTGAGAGCAGGTGAGAGCAGGTAAATGGATTCCACACAAAGACGTAAACACAGAGCGCGGACCCGACGCATCAGAATCAGCTTTCTCTTTCTCGGCTTTCTCACCCGACGGCCGTAAATGGACACGCCGTCAGGGCTGGAAGCCGACAGCTCACTGATTCTGATGCGTCCCTGATTCTGGGTAGTGAAATGTGTAATTCAAAACTTTGTCGGGACGCAGAGTCCTACAGTTCTTAAGAAAATTAATATTCAATTAAAATGTTAAACACTCTTCAGTAAGTGGATAATTTATGTTTTGCTGTTTAAAACTTTCACTTAATAGATGAAATTCAGTAGCCAGGGGCAGGAAATTCAGCCAAACATCAGAACAAAGCAGTGACATTATAAACTTGTTAAACTAGTCGGACAGTGTGGGCGTGTCATCCGGTTACAGTGAGCAGCTGTATTCAAATCATTAACATCTAAGAAATAAACAAGGAAGTGAGCTCCAGAATAAAACACACTGATGGTGGACACTTGGTGAGCTTTGAATTATTTTTATTTTGTCTCTTTCAAAAATGATTTTATTTTTCATTTTTTGTTGTTTATAAAATTCTTTTTAATGTATTATTTTAACCCTTTAGAGCCGATCGGAGCGGGAACGCTCTGTTATGCGTAACTATTTTTAAATCCCAGTAGCACTGCAACCACGTAAGCTAGCGCAAAAATTTTTTTTGCATATGAAACCGGAGGAGTTGTACTTACATCTGATGCCATCAGCTTGTCCTAGGTCACGGTTTCCTTCCACATAAAGCTTTGCAAAAACTGCATAAAAAGCGCTTGCAGGAACAAAAACATAATATTCCAGAAACACGCTTTACCGATCTGATCAGCTGTTCAAAACACTTCCTACGTTGGAATAGACGTCAGCGCGAACTTTTGCATTTCCGCCATTACCTGCCCGAAACCGGAAGTGGCGTCATTTTCGCGGAAATGTAGTATTTTTTGCGATCAGGGCCTCAGGGCCTATACTGCTCTTTTTAAAAGTTATCTTTGACTTTATGACTTTCTGTGTCGTTTCTGGGATTCTTAGGACTCATATTGCACTGCTGGAAATAGTTTATTTTGATGCATATGCTGCTTTTTTGCAAATTTGCAGTATAATATTTATTTTCATTTTTCCTGCAGTGTATAAAAATTGGTGTATTTCAAAAATAAAACTATGAAGACACTTAAAATAAATTTCCTGTGGTGGGAAACTAGTTTGTGCAACTTTTTTGTATTTACAGTTTTGAGGGATAAGACTCTTAAATTTCTCTAACTACAAATATATGTTAAAAAAACAAAAACGATTTTAAATTTTTTTGTAGTTTATTGCACTTTTTTGCAATTTATGTAATTACTATGCACTTAATGAATACATATTATTAAAATCTGGGCTATAATGGTTGTATTGATGTATAGCAACTTGAAATGCTCCCAAAAATGGCTCCACAGCATGTAAAAATATAATATAAGCTCTGGCGGACTTGGTTCTATGGTAGGTCTTAAAGGGTTAAGATGTGTCTTTAAAACCTGCAGTGGTTACACACAGTCTGGTGGGGAAGTTATACAAGTGAAAAATAGCTGAAGTAGAGGATGCTTTCTAGAATGTGTGTTATGTGCCAGGAAAATACTTTTGCATAAATATTGACTCAAACTCCTGAAGCATCAAGTGATGAAGGGAAGTAAGACAAGACCTTAATAGAGAAAGAACAGAGTCAGATGTTATCCCAGTGCAGACAGACAGTGTTCAGGAACATGATGAATAAATTAATCTTTGATCTGATTTATATTATATGTTTGTTTGTATTTTTGTTCCATTTAATCTTTTGTTTGAAAAGTGTGATCATCACAATGATTGTTTGTTGACTCTTTGATGGTCAGATAGATTTTTTTGACAAACAATGAAACCTTAATTATAAAGTAATATAATATAACAGTATAATTATGATTAAACAGGTCACCACCTTGTAGCTATCAAATATCTCAATAAACAGAAATAAAGCCAAATTATAATCTGTGTTTTATTCTCACTTTTCTCTTCCATCAGGTGACTGCAGGTTACAAACATGGAAAGGTATCACACTCTAAACCTTGTATTATCTTCACTGCTAAAAGAACAAATACAGAAATGATTTCAAACTACATGCAGTAACTTCATCATCTGCTCTCTCTTTTGCTAATTCATTTTAACCCTGAAAGGTTTTTCCAATATATGTTTCACCTGGAGAGTAAAAAATGGTAGATATATAACCTTTCCTGATTCCTTTCCTCACCAGAGGACCAGACTCTCCTGAACATGAACCTGAGCCCAGTCTCAGCTCTGTAACAAAGAGGAAGAGAACCACTCAACAGGAAGACCGTCCTGACTTTAAAAGCAGGAAATTGTCTCCTGATGCAAAGTAAGAGTTAACTGAATGGATCCAGGAGTAATCAGTGAGAAGCTTTAGTTTGCCACATGTGTATCATTTATTATTATTATTATTATTATTATTATTATTATTATTATTATTATTATTATTATTATTATTATTATCATTATTATTATTGTTGTTGTTGTTGTTGTTGTTGTTGTTGTTTTATTGCTGTGTTCATAAAAAGAAGAAAACACAGCAACAAACAGACTAAAAAGAACAGAAGTCATTTGTTGTGAAGAGCATCAAACTTTTTAGCTTTATTGTAATATCATCACTGTGACTAGATCCAAGTTTATTCAGTACTTTTTGTGTCAGAAGGCTAAACATGTAATTTCTTTGCCTGATGGTCTTTTTCTCCGTTCACCAGGATCACTGAGGCACCAGATGCCCTTGAACCTGAACCTGGACCCAGCTGTGTGTCTTTGAAGAGTGATCAGTCAATGAATTTTATCTTCCACTTTAAAGGACCAAAACCGGCTGCTGCTGAGGAGTAAGAAAGTTCACACCTACCTTAAAGCTATGTGGTGCATCTGGCCTCAGTCCTGAAATTTAGGACCTCCATGAGTAAGACTGAAAGACTGCTTTTTTTTTTAATCTATCATAACAGCCCTGCATTCCCTGCATTGGCCATCACGCTGATTATAATTTATGTGGTAATCAGCAGAAATGGGTCAGCAATTAGTCAGTTTGACTCTGATACTGTGGGTGCTCGTTTTGCTTAGGAAGGTGAAATGATCTACAGCTGTCTGTGTGGTGCTGGAAGCCACGATACAAGCTGCTGGAAATCTTTAAAAATTAAATAAAAGTGCTTCAATGCTTCCTTTATATTCCAGCTTAAGCATGGACCACCCTTGATCCGTGTTATCATAATCTCATAATTCATAGTGACCATCCCAGCATTCATGAAAATCATTAACAAAACTGGTTGTTACAGCCCAGTCTAGGGGTACCGAAACAAAACATAAAGGTTAGGAAAGATGTGACCCCGCCCTGGTCCCCAAAACCATACCCAGAAGCCAAATCTTTGAAGTTAACGGTGGTTTATTTGTGGCTAAACTGAAAACTTAACTCCGGGGTGAACAAAGGCCAAAATAACAAGCTAAGTCAGGAAAGGAGGTGCTATCTAAAATCCTAGATGAATCAAAAACCAAACAAAAGACAAGTGCTACGCCTACCTCCCTAACTGAAATAAACAGGAGATAATAATACAAGAAAAAATAAGGCAGCTCACCCCTTCTGTTTCAGTGCAATTTTGTATGCTTTATTCCCTTTAAAGCCGGTCCAGCTCTGTTTTGTGTAACTATTTTAAAATCCCGGTAGAACTTCAACCACGTAAGCTAGCGCAATAATTTCTATTTTGCATATGAAACCAGAGAAGTTATACTTACCATAAGCTAGTGATGTGCGGATCGATCCTAAAATATCGATTCCTCCGATACCAATCATTTATGTTCTAGAATCGATTCTCACATTAAAATATCGATATTTTAGTAATTTAGAGTAAATTTGTAGTTTATCATTAACAGGAACACAGTGGAAAGAAACTATAACTCCCTCAATATATCAACTGAGACATCGCGCTCAGCGAAGCTTAAAACCTCCAATAAACTGAGACTGAACATCAACTCTGTTAATGAGCACAATCATGCAATGTGTATAAACCGACTTTGGCTGCACCTGTAAGTGAAAGGTTAATAACAGTAAGTTTCATAAACATCTTTAATACAATATCAATGCTGTAAGGGATATTATTAATGCAATGTTAATAATGTGAGTTATATTGTAGCAATAAAATAATATCCTCTATTTCCACATGGGAAACTATTTTGTGCAACTTTATTGTATTTATAGTTTTGAGGGATAAACCTCTTAAATTTCTCTAACTAGAAATATATGTTAAAAAAACGATTTGCAATTTATGTAGTTACTATGCACTTAATGCATACATATTATTAAAAATTCTATAATGGTATGGTTGCATTGATGTATAGCAACTTGAAATGCTCCCAAAAATGGCACTACAGCATGTAAAAATATAATATAAGCTCTGGCGGACTTGGTTCTATGGTAGGTCTTAAAGGGTTAAAGAACATATGTAATCTAACACGTTTTGATTTGGGATAACTGTCTGAGGGATATCTCTTTGAGCAGCCACAAATGACCACGCACTGTGTCCAAACACCAGCTCTGCGGGACTGAAAATCATCGACCCCTGCACACTCTCTCTCACTGCTAGAAGGAGAAGTGGCAGACCCTCATCCCACTCTCTTCTTGACTTGAGGCAGAAGTTCCCCATCATGGCTTTTAATGTTTGGTGGAAACCCTCAAGCGCACCCTGTGATTTGGGATGATACGCACTGAATTTTTGATGCGTTACGCCAAGAAATTTCAAGACCTGAGCAAATATTTTGGACATAAAATTTGACCCTTGGTCCGTTTGAACAGATTTTGGCAAACCGAAAGTGGAGAAGCTAGCGCTCTGACAACAGCTTTGACTTTGAGAGTGCGTAACAGAATAGCCTTGGGGAAGCGTGTGGTGGTGCACATCAAAGTCAAAATATACTGATGTCCTGACTTTGTTTTGGGAAGTGGACCTACACAATCAATGAGTATGTGCTCAAATGGTTCCCCTAAAGCTGGGATTGGATGTAATGAAGCAGGTGGAATAACTTGGTTTGGTTTACCACTAACCTGACAAATGTGGCAGGAGTGGCAGTAAGTTTTTCTAATTCCTAAATGTCCAGAGAAACTGTCATGTGCAAGACTGAGTACCTGGGGTCGGAACTTTTGCGTTACAACTATCTGTTGAAAAACATTCCAGTCAAGATCATTAAATGAGGGAGGGTGCCATTTACGCATTAACATGTCATTTTCAATGCTGTAAACTCAGGGATTTTGATTGCTGGAATTCGCAGCAAGTAGACATTTGGCCAGAGTTGGATCAGTTTGTCTCAGGATCATCTTCACAGCATAGAAAAGAGTCAGACAAGTCAACATCACCGTATTTGCGCTTGTGACAACACAGGCAAGCAAGACCTGAATGGCAGCAGGAGTGATGATGAGGGGAGCAATCAGCCACCGTTAGCTCTCCAATCAGGAAGGACCTGTAGATTCTTAAAGATATAGCACAGAAGAAAACTCTAGCCGGCCAGGGCCGTAACACTGATAAAGGACCACAGCAAATCTTTTTTTTTTTTAAACCTTAACATTGATATTTTTCTGCATGAAATAACACTGCAAAGTGCATTGGGATGTAATAAGACGATAATATTAATACTATTAATAATAATAATAATGATAATAGATTGCATTTATATAGCGCTTTTCGAGACCCTCAAAGCTCTTGATCATTTTGTAGTTCACCGTCTGGACACTGAACACCACAGATGTAGATGTATTGTAGGCAGATTCAAGATGTCATCATGTGCTTTTTTATTTTTTTAGGTGTATTCTTAGTTTTCTCCTCAGAAAATATTCAGCTGTTCCTCGAAGATGCTCTTTCTTGCTACTGGTATTGTAAACACACAAAGGCCATTTTTTAATAAAAGTCTTGGGCTTCCCAACCCCCCCTCAGGGGGTTGGGAATCGCATCTGTAACCGGAAGGTCGCCGGTTCAATCCCTGGGCTCTCTGTCCTGGTCGTTGTGTCCCTGGGCAAGACACTTTACCCTACTTGCCTACTGGTGTTGGCCAGAGGGGCCGATGGCGCGATATGGCAGCCTTGCTTCTGTCAGTCTGCCCCAGGACAGCTGTGGCTACAACCGTAGCTTGGCTCCACCAGTGTATGAATGTGAGAGTGAATGAATAGTGGTATTGTAAAGCGCTTTGGGTGCCTTGAAAAGCACTATATAAATTCAATCCATTATTATTATAAAAATATGAATCTGACTTTTTTTTTCTTTTTGCAATGTACAGAGCATGTCTATAATATGGTCAGTACAAGAACACACTTTGGTGTCACTGACCTGTTAGTTGGACTAGTGGAGTCCAATAAATGAATAAATAAATAAGCGTATAAACTGACACAATAGATTTGTTACAGCACAGTTGTGCTTGTTTTAATCAGGATGATCATCAAACAGCAGAAGAAGAAATCTTTGGCTTGTATTTATGTGCAAAATGGTTCTAATTTCTTCATGATGTCTCCACAGAGCTGATCAGGAGAGTCTTCATCATGCCCAGCAGCATCAAACCAATCTAGACTCGGTGTTTAAGGTTTGTACATGTACACTTACCTCTTTTTTTTAATTGTTTTCATGCTGCTCAGTCCAGTATTCATCATAACTTAATGGCAAAATACCAAACATACTCCAACAGTGAATTAGTTTCACTTTATTATTATTTATAAAGCACTTTTCAAAACAAAGTTTTGGGAACATAACATGATCCGCAAATAAGGTGCAAGTACACTGCACAGCCACGTGATTACCAGCGGTTACCACGCCTACCTAGCTGCATCAGAGCCGCTTTCTGTCAAAAACCTACATTTTAGACCCACCTACAGACACTTGACTGGACAGACGTCACATGCAGTAAATTTGGGCCAATGTGGGTTTTGGCCTTGCAACGTCTGATTGGTTGAAGTGACGTGAACGTGGCATCATTGCTATTGGCTTAAACGATTAAAAAGAGGTGTCAATCATGCAAATTGACCAAAAGATACCAAATTCACAGCCCCTCAGAGTTTAAAGGACCAGAGGCCAATTAAACGCTCTATGCGCACAGCAGAAAAGGGCCATTACCATGTAAATGTTAATTCTTCAAAAATATATTTAAAAAAAGCATTTTCAGGCCTGTTAATAAAATTAATTCATTTCTGCTCTTAAATACCTAAAAAATTCAACTGGCATGGTGTCCAATTGTGTGCCAAAATTAGACATTTTTGTACAACGTCTGGATATTCATGTATTGACTAGGCTGTAATTTTTCACTGTTTCACTTTACAAACATAAATCTTTGCACAGATGATGTTTATTTTTGGTTACTGAATTTATGTAATGAAATGTGAACTGAGGCATATTTTTAAAAGGGTTATATGCTAAAATTCTTTTTTAAAAATTAGAGGAGGATAAAATCAACTTACTTTCTCTGTGTTCCAGTCTCAGTAACTTTGACACAGTAATATCTGCTTCAATATTTACACCTCTGATGAAATTTCACAAGTGTTAGCTTTATTTTGATACCAAGATTGTAAACACAGAGTTTGTAATTGCAGAGAAATAATCAATTAAATTTGGGCATTGCATTTTCGAGCAGGAATCTCAGAAACCCCTTTGGGGTTTAAGAGGTTAAAAAAATCAGTACTAATGATTACTTAATTTAATTTATGTTATTATTTTATTATTTTCTATCACCTAAGTCACTCTATAACACTACCGGCACGCCAGAAAGTACAGGGTACTTACGGTGTACTTATTTATCACATTTCTGTCAGAAATGTAAATTTCTG